GAAGCCGGCCACAGCCGGCTCGGGGCGCCCGGCCCCTGCTCGCCGCGGACGCGAGCGGGAGGCCTGGAAGGAAGAGCAGCCGCGCGCCGGGCGCCGCGTTTCCTGTGGAGCTCCCCGCTGCCGCCCTCCTGCCGGCCGCTCGCCGGTCCCCCAGGCTCCGTCGACCCCCGGCGCGGGGCCCCGCCGGAGAGGCCATGAGGAAATTCAACATCAGGAAGGTGCTGGACGGCCTGACCGCGGGCTCGTCCTCGGCCTCGCAGCAGCAGCAGCAACAGCAGCAGCAACACCCGCCGGGGGCCCGGGAGCCCGAGATCCAGGAGACGCTTCAGTCTGAGCACTTCCAGCTCTGCAAGGTGAGCGGCGCGAGGAGAGGGCGCGGTGGGGCGCGGGGCCGAACGCGCCCACGGTGCTCCCCGCCCTGGTGCTCCCGGCCCCGACGGCCCCAGTGGGGTACTTTGCACCGAGTACCCTGCGTGTGCTCGTGGCCGTTCTTCCCTCCCCGGTTTGCGTGGAAAGCGGTCCTTTCCCGGGCAGCCCAAACGTATGTCTAATTTCCCTCCTGGCCGCGGCGGCCCCGATCTGGAGATACTTTTACATTCGTGCATATTTCAGCGTCGTCCGCCGATGTCGAAATTTGCCAACTGTGTGATGAGCCTTGTTTATCGGCGAGGCAAACCTGTTCCACCAGGTCCTTCTGCTCATCCCTTAGAATGCGGGCTGAGAGGCTTAAAGATGAAGTCACTGTTTGGTTACAAAGTTAATGCTGAGGGGTTTGGCTGTGAAAGGCAGGATGATTGTCACAACCTTCTGTAATTCAGAAAGAATGATGCAGCGAGAATTAATTCCCCAGCTGCTCAGTGAGAAAAACACCCCAGAATCTCGAGTGCCTGCCTGCTTCAGCTCTGCCTTCGTGGGGCCGTCTCTTAAAAGCCTCTATGCACACTTCCTGTTTTAATGTCCTTTTTAAAAGGATTCCGGACTTAGAACATTTCAGAATTATTTTTCGCACCCTTTTTCATTCTTTTACAATGGCAAAGTATTGATGGAAAGGTTTGGTAATTGTTGACCAAATCCTTTAGTTATCTGACAGCTTTCCCTTAGAAATCCTTGGGTTTAACATCCAAATAGAGCGAAGGTGGGGGTGGTTTCTCTTGAAATACAGCAAGAATCACCTTTAGCCATCGATTTACGTAATGTTGGACCACTGCAAACTTTAGCAATGTGGCGTCAGCCAAACAATAGTACACTGTATTCCTGGGGCATTCTCTTTAGTGGAGTACTAACGTTGTGGAAACGCAATGAAGGTGCATTAGGGGGATAGTTGTGTCTCCTTAGGAGAAATTTCACTTTTTTTCTTAAAGTAATATGTGCCCCCGTGTGTTTTGTATCAAGTGTCCTTGGTTCTGACTCTAACTAACCCTCTATTGACTGTTCTCTTTTTTGGGGTTTTGCCTGCTGCTTTGCGTGCTGTGATGTCACTTACGGCCCTAGACCGTTCGCCATGGATTCCCCTATCAGCCCTCAGCCCTGGCCTTTGATCCTGTACAGAAGATCCTGGCAGTGGGAACTCAGACCGGTGCTTTAAGACTGTATCCTTTCTTTAATCCAATTTTCTTCCCCCCCCCCCCCCCGCCGCAGTCCTTCTGTATTATGAATTAGTTCCATTTATTTTCTGTGTTCAGTCCAAAGAAACCGAGATAAGCAGGTCTACATTCTGAGGTTGTGTGATGCTACCTAGCTTTTCCTGATTCTTGTGTGAATGTTGCTGTCATGGTTCTAGGCTCTGAATAGTCCCTGAAGCCGAGTCAAAATGTCAATAAAATGTAACTCTAAAGTTTTGTGGTAGTAACTACTTTCTTTGTTAATGGCCTACAAATCTGTAAGGGGATGCATTAGGTAGGGTCTGTTGCATGGAGGGGGTTAAAGGTGAAGTTTAAAGACCATGGCTTGGTGCACTTTTTAGTGGCTTTTAAAGATATTAGCACATGGTAGATGCTGCAACTTGCCACCTATTGACTATTCTCATCAATTAGAGGCCACCCTTGTTTTTCTCATGACCGTCTAGAAAAATTATTAATAGAAGTAAATTATCAAATTAGTTTCCTATAAATACTGAGAAGGGGGAAATGTTTCTAGAGATTTTAGAACATGGTTTTGTAAAATTCATGGAGCTTATGGTAATGTTGATGCTTTTCAGTTTGTAATCTGTTTGTTATATATAGGCATAACCCCTAAGTAAATATGCATTAACAATGGTAGAGAAAGAATGCCGTTTCTGGCTACGTGTGAATTATATAGAATTGTCAAAGCAATCTTTCAGGTTTTTCCAAAAATTTTTTGAGAAACATCTTTTTGCTCCTTTAAAGTATTTAAACAAAATGTGTAACTGCTTTTACAATGGCATGAAACACACTTGAATATCTTATTATTGAGGTACTGTGTTGGTACTTGTATTATTGACAAAAAAATGTGGGGGAAGAGCTGTGCCTGTCAGCATTGTAGATTTATGAGCATTTGAGTTAAATGTGTATCAGGAATTTTATTTACAATCTTTTGAAAACTGCAAAGATTTCCTGTATTGTATCAAAATATGGCACAAGTTGAATCCCTAAGTATGCTGTTTTCCAGATGCTCCCAGTTTTAGGTGAATACGTAGTGAATACCGGAAGCCCTGTCGTGAGTGATGACACTGACCAGGCTGCAGCTGAACTCAGGAGCCCAGGAGCAGTGTGTGTCAGCTGCTCTTGGCCAGATATTCCACTTGTTGAGACTAGAATGTTCTTTGACTTTGATTGTTGACATGTTTTTATTTTTATGAGTACTTTCTATTTTAATTTTGTAAAGAGAGAAATAGTTTACTTTCTCAATGTTGAGCAGAACTCCATGAAGACCCCATTGGGGCATTGTTCTAGGACTGCTTGGAACTGAAACATTATTCCATCTAACAAAAGAATTTCCTCACTGGACTGAAGGGACAAAAAGAATTTAATCAGTTATTTTTAGATTGTTTTGCTTTTTTGTTAAAGGAGTTCATTTTTTTTTTACCACTTTCTCAGTGCAGTCTGAACAGTTTTAGTGTATAACTTTTTGTTTTAACAGCCAATTGGGCTTTTTTAAACTTAATCTTAAGTTCTACCATCAATACCAACTTTATAAAACAAAGTATCTGCCTTAACCAGTACTTGAAAGTCTAATTTGAGTAATTAGATAGTGGACCCTTCAAAAGATAGAGTGAAAATGTCAGGCTTAGTGTTACTTGTTGATTAAAAGCAAGGATCAGGTGTCCAAAACTACCCCTTAATGAGCCTTTTGGTATATACATCTTTTTATAGCTAAATATTACATGAGTGAAAGCAAGCCCCAATCACAGCTACATTCCTGTTTTCTTTTAGAACTCCCTTACCGTACTTAGAATGAAATCTAGAGAACTGTTTACTGAGTTTCTCTTTATCCTTTTAAAAAATATGTATTTATTAATTTTGTGTGTGTGTGTGTATACATGTGTGTATTGCCTACATGTAGATAAGTGCATCCGTGTCCTGCAGTGCCCACGGATGACAGAAGAGGGTGTTGGATCCCCTAGAACTGGAGTTATAGACAGTTGTTAGCTGCCATGTTTGTGCTGGGATTAGAACCATGGTCTCCTGCAAGAACAGCCAGTGTTATTAGCCTCTGAGCCATCTCTCCAGCCTCCTTATCCTCTTTATTAGATTCCGAAGAACTTTCCAGAGTGGCAGGTTGGTTTGTCTGTCAGCAATACAACTACGTCATTCCTTCTGTGAGGTTTTAGTAGCAGATGAGCTTAAAAACTTTGTTAATGTGACTCTGGTTGGTAGAAAATGACCAAGACCTTTTTTACCTCATTGTCCATGTATGTAGTTTTAGAGATATATTAGATTATTCTTCTCTGTTAACTTTTTTGAAGATAGACACTTAAATATATACATTCTAATTCCAAATCTACATACTGGTTTAACTTCTTTATCATCTCTATTGGTCTTGCTGCTCTAGCTTTCATTGTTGTAACTGGTTTCTTCCAGTCCTGTGTTCTCATTTTGTACTCTTGTTGTCTATATTTTCCCCAACAGGTTTCTTTAGGTGGGAAAATACTTCCAAATACAATCTTTTCCTTTGATTAATTTCATAACAAAAATAGGTGTGTTCATGAGTAGCACTGGGCTATTGGAACTCCAAGTGCAAACACATCCTACTTGACCAGTACGTTATCTTCCTGAATGTTGGCGGTCCATCCTAAGTTGAGTGTCTACCTGGAGTCGAAAACAAAACAAACTCAAAAGACTGGCTGAAACAATTTTACCTGATATCTAATGGTTACATAAAAGAGTAGTGAATTTGAATCCTCAGAGTATAGCTGACTGACGAGGCAAGGTCTTCAGTGTCTTTACTGCATTAGTGTGCGGCAGTGACTAATGCTGTTACGTCATTAAATATGTCCAATGGTCAGCCTTCCTTGCTTCTGGGAGGACATGGGGATGAGCATATTTTTTGAGAAGAAACAGGAAAGCACAATTTTATATTATTTATATTTACCATGTAGCGATATAATTTGTGTTCCTTTGTTGCTATGTTAAAATATATAAAATTTGATTTTTATGAGTAATCAAGAAATCAGCCTTGAAATAAAATATTTGATTTATAAGTGCATAAGTTAAAACAGGAAGAAAGAAAATGAAGAATGAAGGAATTTTAATTAATGTCTTTTTCTAGATTTCTGTTTCACTAATATTAACTGCAAATTCTTTTTTTTTTTTTTTTTTTTTTGGTCTTTTTGAGACAGGGTCTCCCTGTAGCCCCAGCTGTCCTGGAACTCACTATGTAGACCAGGCTGGCCTTGAACTCACAGGGATCTGCCTGCCTCTGCCTCCCAAGTCCTGGGGTTAAAGGTGTGCGCCACCATGCCTGGCTGTTTCATATTCTTAAATTATATGGACTCCCTTGATGAGTGTTATGCCTGCATGTAGGTAAATGCACCCGTGTTGTGCAATGCCTGCGGAGGACAGAAGAGGCTATTGGATCACCTGGAACTGGTGTTACAGACAGTTGTTAGCTGTCATGTGGGTGCTGGGATTCGAACCCGGGTCTTCTGCAAGAACAACCAGTGTTCTTAACTGCTGAGCCATCTCTCCAGCCCCAATCTTATTTTTAACATATAAGCAGTGAGGGAAAAATAAAAATAAATGAGGATATTTTGCATCTTAATATTCAAAGAACTAAGCAAAAAATAGAATTTCAGATTTACTAAATGTACAAAATTTGACATTTTAAAAATCACAAAATTATCAAATAACCTCATTTATTGTCTTTTTGACTTGTGAAAAATTCGGTGTAACAGGCAATGTCTACTTTGATGAGGCATAGAATTAAATTGCAGTGTAATGTAGAATCCAGGCTTACAAAATGATTTCTCAGTGTCAGAGTTCATGTAACAAGCACTCATGAAGTGTTAACCCCGGACCATAGACTGCATGGCGTGAGATCTAGTTCTTGCCCTTTTTCACCAAGGAATTCCTTTTTCTCTATAAAAAATGCAGTGTTGTGTTGGAATATTCATCCAGAGAGAATTATATGATTTCAAATTCCTGTGTATTGTTCTAGGGGATTAATTCCAAAGAAATGAAAATGTGACACTTATAAAGACTTCCAGTCCTATGCAGAAGTTTGGGAGTAGGTAGACATATTATAAATAGACAATTGTTCAGAGATTCACTGTCTTTATACAAGACCACGTGATAGGCAAATTCATAGACCTTGACAACACATTAGCAGACAAGGATTCATTGGTAGATGAGGACTCAGAATGTCAAGTAGGAAGAATCAGGAAAATTCTTCTAGGCAAGGAAAACTGTATGGGTGTAACTTTGGCTTAAGGAATTATGGTAGTTGGATGGAATACTGAAACAACAACAACAAAAATTCAGTGTGATTGAAATGATGATCCTAACTGAGTTGGGGCTAGAGAAACAAGCCAATTAGGGCGCTGGGAGATGGCTGACTGAGGAGATGGCTGAGGGAGTAAGGTGCATGCTTTGCGAGCATGAAGACCAGCCTAATCTGGGGAACCCATGGAGAAGCTCAGCAGAGCAGTGTGCATTGTAATCCTGGTGCTGGGGAGATGCGGACAGGGGGGTTCCTGGGGCACTCTGGAGAGCCATCCTGGGAAAATAGGGTGAATTCCAGGTGAAATTCAGGATGGACAGCTCCTGAGGACCCATGTCAAGGCTGACCTCTAGGCTCCCTGCATGTATACATACAAGAACCTACACATACATACACATACATTGCACATGCACACACACAAAACTAAGGCAGTTGAATTTTAGCCTTGAGGTATTGGCGTGCTATTACCATTAATGGTCAAATAAGGAGATGCTTGATGGGAAAGAAATGTGATTGTGTGCTTGTGTTTTCTAGGGCTGACTAGAACGGAGCTATTGAACTTGATGGATTATCAAACTCATGTAGGTAGTAAAGTGGACCCCCAAACAGGTGTGGCAGAATGGACTTCTCTCTGTGAAATCTTAAGGAGGGACTCAGGATGGTACGCTTGTATACAGGAAGAAGTGAGGAA